GCGAGCCTCATGATGCAACAACCCCCCTCTGACCCGTCGTCATAATGCCGGACTTCAAGCCTGGGCAGATAGTCCAGCTCAGCGATGGCCGCAAGGCCACCGTGCGGTTTGCCGGCCAGACTCACTTCCAGGTGGGCGAATGGATTGGTGTCGAGCTTGAGGAGAAGACGGGGAAGAATGATGGAAGTGTCCAGGGCGAGCGGTACTTTGACTGCCCCATGGGGTACGGCATGTTCGTCAAGCCCATGATGGCGACAATCATTGCGCAACCGGCGGCCGCCCCGAAGCCAGCAGCTCGAAAGCCCACCAGGCCAACAACGAGCCTCCATCCTACGGGTGGCAGAGCCTCGGTTTCGGGGAGCGACGTCAGTCTCACCAGGAGGAGGGGGAACTCCAACGCGCCGAGTCCCAGCCCAGCCCCTCACCACAAGCCATCGCAATCGTCGAGCAATCTTCGGGTAAGTGGACACGCCCTGGATCTAGCATATTCGTATTAACTGAGGACTAAGTCGCCTTCTAAATCTCCCACCAAACAGCTTAGCGCTTCATCAAGTGCCAGTGCGTCCCGGACAGGGACGCCGTCAACTGTCCGAGTACCGTCGGCTACTACCAAAGCTCGCGCGTCGCTGCCGGCGTCGCGGACTTCCATGGGGCCTCCCCCGGCTCCCCAGCCTACCCAGCGAGCAATGCGAGGATCCTCGATATCGTCAGTCGCTTCACGATCTGGAAGTGCCCCGACTAGGACCATTGGCGGGCGCGGTGGCATTGCGGCCCCTAAAGCTGTATCACGGCCTGCTGAATCAGGTCGCCGCACTTCTGCTAGCTCTCAAGGTGGTCGCGAATCAAGTTCGGCCACCAGATCCGATGAGTTTTTGAGCTCCCCTGTTGAAGACGATCCTGAAGAAGAAGGCGATGACGAGATACTCTCACCTCAACCAACGAGCCCGGTTGTTGGGAGAACAAATGCGCTGGAGAGAATCGCGGCCGAATCATTAACCACACCTTCCTTGACGCCTCCATTGAAAAAACCTGCAGCAACCGGCTCTTCAAGATCTTCCATTGGTAGTACCGCTGCAAGTAGAGAGATTGAAGACCTGAAAGCTAAGCTGAAAGTTTTGGAGCGAAAGCGAATCGAAGACCGAGACAAACTTAAGCAACTGGACACGATTCAAGGAGAAAGGGACAAATTCGAAGGCATCATTCAAAAGTTACAGCAGAAATACCAGCCAATGCAACAGGAGAACACGGATTTGAGAAAGGCAGTGAAAGAAGCCGAGGCAAGGTTTGAATCGATCGAAGCCCTTCAAGCGGAGCATGACTCTGCTTTGGAATTAGCCACCCTGGATCGCGAAATGGCTGAGGAGACTTCTGAAGTCTTGAAAATTGAATTGGATGCTTTGAAAGAGAAGGCGGAAGAGCTACAACTGGAGCTTGAGATTCTAAAGGAAGAAAATGCTGAGTATAGCAAGGGCATGACTCCCGAAGAGCGTGCTAGCACAGGTTGGCTACAAATGGAGCGCACAAACGAGCGACTGCGAGAAGCCCTTTTACGACTACGAGATCTCACGCAAGAGCAGGAGCAGGAGCTTCGCGATCAGATTGCGAGCATGGAGGAAGAGCTCAAGGAATTCAACGCCCTCAAGGAGGATCACACTACAGCAAAGGAGAAACTGGCTCAGTCAGAGTCGGCTGTAGAAGATTTGCGCCAACAATTGGATACTGCACTGGGCGCAGAGGACATGATTGAAGATTTGACGGAACGAAACATGAGCATGTCTGAGCAAATAGAAGAGCTCAAGGCGGTCATTGAAGACTTGGAAAATCTCAAGGAGATCAACGACGAGCTCGAGATTAACCATGTCCAAAACGAAAAGGAGATGCAAGAAGAACTTGATTTCAGAGACAGCATTATTGCCGAGCAGGCCAGACGAGCCCAGCAACAAGATGCCGCGTTGGGTGACATGGAGTACACCCTATCGCGATTCCGAGAGCTTGTTACGAATCTGCAGAGCGATCTGGATGACATGAGGGCATCCCAGGCCGTCACTGAGGGCGAGTCGGAGAAGCTTAATGACCGATCGAGAGCCATGATGGATCTGAATATGAAGCTACAAATTTCAGCTTCCAAGGCCCAAGTGAAAACGATCGATCTTGAGCTACGACGACTCGAAGCTCAAGAGGCGGAACAGCACCTGGAGATTGTCAAGTTATTCCTTCCCGACAGCTACCGAGACGACCAGGACTCTGTTCTTGCTCTCTTGCGATTCCGCCGACTTGCATTCAAGGCAAATCTCCTCAACGGATTCATCAGGGAACGAGCCAACGGGCAGCTTGAGCCAGGCCATGAGGACGACATCCTCGCCGGCTGTGACGCTATTGACAAGCTTGTTTGGGTTGCCGCAATGTGTGATCGCTTTGTTAACGATATCAGCCATTGCTCTATTGAACAGTTCAACAAGTACCAGAACTCTCTGCTGGAGCTGGAGCCTGTTGAGCGGGCGCTGAATACCTGGATTGATGGCTTGCGACGAGATGAGCTGAAAGAACAGAAGTGCGCGGACGAGCTTCAGCGCACTATTTCGCTCATGTCGCATCTTGGAGAGGTACACATTTCAAGCGGCATCGCTGCCTTTGCCGACGACATTCACATGAGGGCTCTGGTTGTTCAAAGCCACCTCGATTCAGCAACTGTTGCCTTTAACGTGATCCGAAGCATGGTGCAGCGAGCTATCCCTGCAGCAGGCGAAGAGGAAGAGCTAGCTCAGCATTTTGCCAAGAGGATTGATCTCGCCATTACGCAGACACGAAGCACAAAGGTTTTTGCTGGAAAGGCGGTCCATGCCTTGGAAGACCTAAAGGCACGATCTCTCTCGCTAGGTGAAGACTCAAAGGGTGCATTTGAACAATGCGAGACTCTGGCTCAAGAACTTGCACGATTGACCCGCCAGATGGGCTTGGGCATCCATAAGCTGCTTACACATGACGAGGGCCGCAACGAGCCCTTTACTTATGGAGAGATTAACGAAGTCATCCACCAAGCTGTTCTCGAATCTACCCAGGCCAACGAGTCGGATCTCTTTTCCAACTACCTCGGCATGCTCAAGACTGCTAGTGGCCAAATTTCTGATTTGGCGACACTCGCTGCAGACTTGGACCAGACTCATGACTTTGATGTCAGCCCCACTCCCTGGCGTCTTCGTGCCCAAGAGCTCAGGATACTCAAAACAGTCCCGGTGGATACTGAGGAGGAGCTCAGAAGGCTCAAGGCTGAGCATAATGAGGTTCGTCGGACGATTGCACAAAGAGACGAGCATCTTAGCACAGCTGTGCTTAAGATTGAGACGCTCGAGTCCCGTATGCGAGATGCTCAGGCAAACGTTGAACGCATTGGCAACTTGCAGTCTGAGCTCGAGGATGTGAATGGCCATGTCACTAGCCTCAAGGAAGACATTGAGAAGCAAGATCGAGAGCTCAAAAACCTCGAGTCGGAGCGAGACAAGTGGAAGAAGATTGCGAGTGACAGCAGAGCATATGCTGACGGCGCTGATGCTGCGGATATGAAGGCCGGTCAGGAACGGGCCGTCGCTACAGCACGAGAAATGGACACGCTGAAGAAGGAAATCGAAGGCCTACAAGGTGCCGTCCGTTATCTGCGCGATGACAACCGTCGTGCGCGTATGAAGGAGCAGCAAAGCTACGAGTGGCTTGCGGAGCCTTTGAAGAAGGAGGCCAGCCCCGAGCAGCAGCGCAAGGCACTGGTGGCCGCCGAGGGCAAAGATGTGCTTGGAGAGCTCATCAAGATGGCAACGTCGACGACCGTTTTCGACCTCAGCACCGCACCAAAGGAGAAGCTAGCTTGGCGCCCGGCCAGATCAACACCACAGTATCATGTGGCGAAGCAGATGGAAGATCTCGAGACCTGGAGGGCTTGGCAGGAGTCGGTGCTCAAGAAGACGGACATGCTGTTCGCCCAAGAGCGCAGCCTCCGCCTCGGGAGAGAGAAGCTTCAACAAGCGGCTGCTGGCGCGAAGCGGGACGCTGTGGCGCGGCTGAGGATCAGGCTACCTCGCGATCCTGCGTTGCAAGGCAAGTTGACGGCGGGAGACAATGTGCGGATTGTAGGATCGCAAGAGTGGGATGCTCTGCAGGCGGCTACGAGGAAGTTTGCCGCTGTATAATGATGTTTGAAGCCACCCTCCCCCCTTTTTTACGAAACAGAAAAAAGCACGTGTATATGAATGAAAGCAAAGAAATGACTTGATATTTTTATTTACTGAGCCCTTTCCCTACTCTTTCCCTCTTTCTTTCGTGCTTTTTGGTATGAGAAGTTGTAGATAGAAGGAGATGGACGTCTTTTGTATACCCCCCCTTTTTTGCGCATGTGTACCACAACGATGATTTTGTGTATGTGTCAAAGAAGTTTTGAGATTTGATGCCCACAAGCGAGCGAGCAAGAGCGGCGAAGGATAGAAGGAGAAGAAACCGCTTTTTTTTGTGTTTGTCCTCTAATTTAGAAAGCAATTCATGTGGCGAGATGAATATAGTTGTTGAAGGATGAAGATTTTAGAATGTCTTGATATCCTTGTCTTCATGTTCTTTGGTGTAGAATCTAAGAAGGTGTCTACCATATGAATAGATGGGAATGCGCTCATGTCATGTAGCATTTGTAAAGCTAGATTCTTCTGCTCCTGCGAAATACCCAGACAGTCCTTTCTCCCCCCAAGTTAGCCTCTTTGCATTATGTACAACGTATGTCTCAATCTCCTCTTTCAGCTTGAATCATTGCGAGTTTCGTCATTATTAAAAGGTCGTATAATCGCCATCTTCACAGCAAGTCTATAGACTCTAGATTGCCCGCCAGTAACAAAGACATGCTATTTCTTTCTTTCTTTTTTTTGTATAACGCCCCTCATTCGTACACACAAGGATATTAAAATTCCCCCCCCATCCATTTGATCTCTTCCTGCTCATATCGTCATCAACCAATCGGCTCAACCATCTCAAGCTTTCCCCTTGCCCTTTTTATCTTTCTTCTTCTTCTTGCCCTCCTCCGCACCGCTCGCGCCTCCACTGCCGCCGCCGCCACCACCCTGGCTCGCAAGCAGCGCAGCCATGGGATCGGCGCCGCCCTGCATCTCCTTCATCATGTCCTTGAACAGGTTCTCCGAGACGCCACCGCCCGTCATCGCAGCGCTCAGGTACGGCAGATACTCGTTCATCTTCCAGCCCCGCGGCACGGCGGGCTTCGGGTAGGGCTTGTCCTCTGGCGGCTGCATCTGGTTGCCGAAGCGCAGGCGCAGGCCGGGCGAGTCCTCCGTCGTCGGGTTCTCGCGCAGGTGCTTGGCCACGAGGACGTACAGGTGGTGCTTGTTGGCGATGTTTGTAGACGCCGAGGCACCGGCCTTTTTGAGGGCGACCTTGACGCGGCCCGGGTTGGACCAGTCCTTGGGGTGGATCTTCTCGGGCTCGAGCAGCGTCTGCAGGCGCAGGCGCGAGCAGGCGTTTGCGATTTCGCGCGCCAGCGGGTTCTTGACGGCCAGGGCGGCGCTGACGCGGCGGCCCTCGGCGCGGGTGCGCGAGGCGTCGAAGTAGACTGGGTACAGGCACTGGTGGTTGGCGAAGGCGGAGCGGTCCGAGGTGGCGGGCAGCGTCGAGATGCCCGGGCCCGACATGGGGTTCATGAACTGCTGGGCGCGGGCGGCGGCGGCGTTGAGGTCGTTGAGGCCATCGTCGTCGTCATCTGAGGAGTCGACGATGCGCTGCTTCTGGGTGCTGGGGCCGCGGGCGCGGATGATGTCTGTTTCGGCAAAGTCGTCGAGGTCGACCTCGTCGGGGTCGGAGATGATGTCTGGGTCGCTGTCGGAGACTTCTTCTACCCGCGGGTGAGACATGTTGGGCTGAATTGGAGGCAATGAATGGACGAGAAGAGAAGAGAAAGAAGGAGAATCAACGAGGAAGAAGAGAAAAAGGCGAGGCAAGGGACGAAGATGGAGAAGAGAGCAAAGAGGTGGAGGGCTGGCGAGGCTGAGGTTATGGCGAGAGGTTGAAGCAAGCAGAATAAAGCCAGTTCCATGGTGGGGTCAACCGCGCTTTAGTGTGTGGTGGGGTTGGATGTCTAGCGGGCTCTGTCTTGGTTCGATATTTGACTACAATTCGCATGTGCTTAGATGCCCAAACGAGAGCAGTTCGTGATATTTTGCCCATTCAGATGAAGAGTATTAAAAGAATGTTCAAATATGAGCATCGTGTATCATTGAGCAATTCTCGTACTTGCAAATTACCGCTACATGTGATAGCTAATTTCCATCTTAGACGCTTCCATCGAATGAATGAACCTATATCCCCATGGTGCGAGTGCACAATTTAAAAAACACCAATTGGTACTCCCAAATTCTCTCTCCCTGTATAAATAAGAGCACATTTATTTCTTGAAAAGCAAAGTTACTTCAACTCATTCATTACTTTGATATAACGAGATTTCGGACGGCAATGGGGGACATCCGGCTCGCAATCTCCACATTTCTAGTTGGCATGGATGTAAGCACTCTTGTATTTCGTTCCGGGAGGATGAGCCTCTTCCGAGAATTTGCAATAAGGGTGGACGCAGGTGCCGTCCCGGATGCTAGGACACTGGAAAGATTAAACGGTTAGCATTGTTGGTGCTGAGGGATTGAGACGGGCTACTTACGTGGTGGCCATATATGCAGTCTTCTGCCTCGCAATACTGGCCGGACGAGCACGGGTTCTGGCGAGCCAGCACAGCAACTGCCTTGATCTCGTCCTCGTTGATCTTGTATTCGTGAGCAAACGGGCAAATGTCCTTCTTCGCGCAAGGCCCTCGGAGGTAGTGATTGTTGCATAGTTTGTCGTTGTCTTTTCGCCTTTTGATCGTTTCCATTACTTGTACATTCACTCTGATGGGCTCATCAAAGCCGCGACGACCAGGGTTCCAATTATCGGGTATGCTAGACGGAATCAATTGGTACTGTGACTCAGACTGGACACGGCCCTGGGCCTTTTCTCGCCAGGACGCCGTTCCCGACTGCGTCTGCTTCTTCGGTGGAAGCGTAAAGGGGAGTGTAATCTGTGGCGGCGGACTGGCACTCGCGATCCCGGCATAGGACACGTTCGGAGTGCGAACTTGGCTGGAACCGGCGCTAACAGCTGGGCTGGCTGTTCGAGATGCAACCAGCTGAGCCGGGGGTGACTGACTGGATGCCATCTGAGCCAACGTGGGGAATTTTCCAGAAAGCTTGTCGTCACGGAAGAGGCCATCCCCGAGCTTTTCTATCTTGATGTTGGTCGCGACAAGGTCAGGCACGGTAGTGACACCCTCAATGATGCTGATCCTCTGTCGGGTAGCCTCATTCTGAAGAGTTTCATCCAAAAAGGGGGCATAGCCGGCGTCATGCGAAATTCCGAGCATTATATGCTTGCAGTTGTGATTTCGTAGATGCCATCTAGTCGTTTCTGTTAAACGCCAAACGGGGTCAGCTCAACCAATTTTGACAGCGGTTCGGGATATTTGACGATTCACAGTACCTTTAATTTTGGAATCAGCCCTTTCTTTGCCGTAGCCAACATCAATATAGTCGAATGTAGCCTTGGCTTGCGTGAAGCCAAGCGTAAAATCTTTCAAGGTGCTGGGGCTATCCACGCAGCCATCTCGTTGCATGGCTTTGCCCAAACCAGAAAGATTCGCTACCACCTTGGCCACAATCTCCAAGTCCTCAACCTCTTCGCTAAATCGTTCCGCTACGGCGGCGCGTAAGGCATAAGCGGCTTTTTTACCACCCTCAAGACCTTGCTTGACCCATATATCTCTAAACTATAAGAAGACGGAAAGTCAGTGGCTGTGATTCGTTGCATAGGAGGAGGATTGAAATGAACCATACCATGAGGCCATCGCCATCTATCAATACCATGATATAAGAATTGTGGTTCTATTATAACGACCGTCAGCACTTGCATTCTACAACGGCCATCCAATCCATGGATTAAAACGGCCCGTGTTTGACGAGGTATCTACCTTTAGCTTGTCCATTTCTTTATGCACTTTGACTTTTGCATCTTCCTCCTCGGCTTCAAAATGGCGAACGCGATGCTCCAATTCTGATCTTTGAACTGCCGCATTTTGAAGATCAATCTGTGCGTTGAGCAGTCTCTGACTTTCATGGCGAAGCTCATTCTCGACTTGATTGCAATATATAACAAGGTCCTAAAAGGTACATGGAAATAAGTACAAGTGACATCAGATATATGTAGGGAGAGAGTGAAAAGTAGGTGAAGGAAGTGAGTAAATCTGAGAGAAAAAGGACAGATACATCGGTCCTGCTCATGCCCCAGAGCCGATTTAAAACATCGGCCATGGTGACGACGGTCACTGCCTAGGGGAAAGATGGGAGATGGAATACGAATCAAGGAGATTGTCGTACCTTGAAAAGGTTATCCATCGAATCTCTTTGCACTGTCAGCTCGTGAAATCGCTGGACGAAATCCCTTATATCAGCACCGACGGCTGGATTCATCTTATGAGACATTTTTTCTGTTTAAAAGCCCTTTTTGATCGAGGTTGCTTTCTTGTTCTCTTCTTCTTGGGCAGCCGTATTTGAGGCCGTGAAAATACTCTGGTTTTTTGGGGGTGCCGCTGCTCGTCCCTTAAGCAAAAGAGAGGGATCGAATTATGCGAAGGGTATGTTGAAGGAAGATGAAAATTAGAAAAATAATACTATCACGCTGAGTCTTTGACTTGGATCTGGTCTCTATTGTTAAACTGGTGATGAAAGGGAAAGGAACAGGTCTATGATGTGTGAGTGGTTGTTTATTGTAGAAGCGTAAAAAAAAAAGTGGTGGCGAGTCCAGAATTTTTTTTTGTGATGCCGAGCCTCTCAGTATTGTGTTTCACGTCACTGCGACTACCCGTTTGATTGCTCTTATTATTCAGATATTATCACCGCACGTGGGTTGCTGCAGCCGAGCCAGAAATGCTCACGTTTTTAAAACAAAGATGTTGAAAAATAATGAATAGCAGTGAAGCAGGATTGCTCAAGTTTTTTTTTGGGTTGCCAATTTTTTTGTCTGCTTAGTAGCGATCATTTACTAGCATCCATTGAAATCTGCAAAACTAACGGAAAAAAAGGGGGGCCGCCATTTATACCCATCCAGGTGTCACTGGATTAAGTCACTGGATTTAATTTAGGCAGCGCAGCCATCTGGTCTACAGAGTGGCCGTGAGGCTTAATGTTAAACACCGTTTAATATTAACACCGTCGCCAACCAACAGCACTTTATATTAAAATAAAATTGAATCATTTTGAAACGGCGTCTAATGCGTCCGCTGCTCAAAATACGGATAGGCTCGCAGCCGCTAAAAGCGACCCGCGACAGGGTTCGCAGCGCAAAAGGATGCCCCGGAGCGGATTAGCGCGAGCGCCAAAGCAGACCCCACAGTATCGAGAGATGGCGATTTTCATCGTCGACTGCCTTGGCGGTGCTTCGCTTCGATCGTGGGAGCGGCTGAATTCATGCTCATGTGCTCGTTCTGGTATCTGGGCCGCCGCTAGTACTTGTTGTTTTTGTTGGTGCTGGCATACACTTCAGTACACTGCCACTGCCTCTTCCCGCTTGTGGTTCTATTATATGTAAGAGGCTTGAGCAGACCAACTTGTGTCTGTTGGCGCTATGGCGTCTCTGCTGCCGCTCGCGTCACATCCTTTTTGGGGCTGTGAGCCGTTTGTCAGTCTCGGTGCCAATCATCTGTTCTGCTCTGGCAGTCTGTCACCCCAGCCATTGGGCCCCTGCAGCTCGCAGCTTGCAGCTCGTAGCAAATGAGAGAATCCCTCAGAATCCCTCAGAATCAAGTGGGCTGCTAGTTTCCCGTTTACTTGCAGACTGAACAAACCGCTTTGTTAAACTCGCCTTGGCTTGTGCATTCGCGCCCTCCTCACCACCAACAGCTCCTCTGAATCACACGAGCATGTCACGCCCCTCCGCGAATCAAGTCTTCCCGCCTCAACCGGTTTCGTTACCGCCGGGCTGGTGCTGATTCAAGAACCGCCACACTGTGTCCTCCCCAAAGCCTCCTTCGAATTGCCACATGAATGAGTCGCCTAGTAGCGATGGGTCCGAATCTGTCTGTGCTGGCGCGTTGTCGATCTGATCGACCGTGAGGTCCTTGTAGATGAGATCTGCCATCGGAAAATACGGCGCCATATTGGTGAAGCCATTTGCATCTTGTGGCACCTCCCATCCACTGGGCATCATCGACGGAATGCAGGCCGCCGAGTCCTCAGCAGTTGATGGGATGGCGGCGGTTGACGATACGGATTCAGCAGGCCCTTTGAAGCTTCCTTCTATCGACGCCATGCCGACCGAGCTTGTTGGTGTCGATCCAAATGTCTTGCTCGTCGATGTAGGCGTAGTAGTATTAGAGTTGTGTCGCAGGAGGTCAACAGGAGGGCTGACGGATGAGGACGGCGCGCAGTTTGCAAGGGCTTTGACGAGCCTAGCCACCACTGCTCGGAGTACTCCCAATGCTGACTTGGCGAGAGGATTCATATCCTTCATGGTCGCGAACCGCTCGACCGTCCAGTGACAATGCTGTATGGCCATTTCTCGAAACTCTGCATTCTCGTAAGGAAATAAGATGTAAATGGAGGCAAGCAACGTGACGGCATCGAAGCTACCGTAGAACAACTGCCAACTATAAAGGAGGAAAGGTGGAAAAGTTAGTTACCGCTTCTAAAAAATTAAATATTGCTGAAGATCCGGATGGAACATACTTCTTCCAAGATTTCGGTGGCAGCCCTTCAAACATGCGCTTCTGCATCTCTAGCATACCGAGACTGCCTTTAATCACCTCAAGTCGACTCTCTTCTCGGTGGAAAATGTAGGGTCGATGGAGCGCAACCAATGTGAAATGGAACATCTGTTCAGACAAACACCTTGCCTGATGAAGCCACTGCAGTTCGGGCAAGTGATCCCATTGCCTGTCTGGATTCTCTATCCGGAAGGCGGCTGGCACAGCATCATGTATATCCACGATGTTTTGTTGTATCTTGAGCACTTTTGACCAGTCCCTGGGGCATGGCCCTTCGGGTTCTAGGTCTAGAACGTCCCGCAGCGGCAGCATTGTTTTGTATAGGAGTATATTTCTCGTCAATGACGTCGGGGGATCAACGCCCTCTTCTCTGGGGATGACGGGAGTTTTGGACCGATCCGATGCCAGCGTGAATCGGGCGTCAATAGGCAGTGTGGGGAAGCCGTGTCTGTAATTCATTGAACCAGGACGGCCTAAGATGAGACACATGTGAATGTCCCTGGCAAGAATCATGAGTAATCTCAATCCACGTCTGTCGCGTATAATGCACTTACCATGTCCCGAGCATCATGTACAAATGTCTCCTTTTCTCAATTTGCCATTGATTTAACAATACACTCTCTACATCGTTCGATTTCGGCTTTGGGTCAAGTGCATCTCGGTGCATACCCAGCTCTTGTGCGTCTCTTATCGTTTTGCCAACTTGATGCCACTATATCCATGCAATGTCAGCCAGAATCGTCCTATAAAGCATATTTACATGACGACAGCAAAGCATCTACCTACCGATTCCGTAACATTGGCCGTATACTTGAGGAAGGATGCTCGAAGGAATCCAGTTTGAATCGACGTCGTACAAAGGGACTTTGTACCCAAAAGACTGAGAATAGACATGCTGGACTCGCTGTAGTCAATTGCCAGATCCTCAAACGTCATGTTTGCAGCGTACTTGAGCGACTCAAACGACTCATGGAGAGGTTTAGGAAGGACAAGCAGCGCCGTGGCAATGATCTGGAACAAGAGCGCCGGAAACACCTTCAAGTCCGGAGCCAAAGCTTCTGGGCCGCGCGAAGAAAGCAGCCTGAAGGGTATATTGGACCATTGTTCCAGGAGTTCGTTAAAGTTCTGAGGCTCGACAAGAAAATACTGCCAGTTGAGGTCGGCGAAGAAGATCTCGGTCAGTTGGTCAATGTACATCCTCGCGGGGAGCAGCCGGATAAGCCCCTTGTATTTTTCCCTGACCGCAAACGTATCCTGTTGCGATGCTTGCCCCGGCGCTGAGGCATTGGTCAGCGCATCCTCGCCATCTGCCGTGCTGGCCCTTTCAATCTTCTGGAGGAAGCAAAGCGTTGACGACCCCCCTGATTGCGCATAGCCCCAGGAGGAGGCTACGGATGACAGCGGTTCCGACTTTTGTTTTGTCGCGTCGTCATCGTTCTGCTCCGAGGAATATAGTCCGGCGTGCGCCTCATGTTCGCGGGCGGTGGGCGCGCCGGCCTCGTAAAAGCAGCTTGATTCCTTGTTTCTCGACCTGCAGTTCCCGCATGGCAGCTCCCGATCGCACTGTGACCAACACACATGGTCAGCAAGTTGCCCAATGTTACTCAGCCCAGCTCATCCCAGCTCAGCCTTGTCCAGATTCCCAACCTTTTGCTTCCTTCGATGACACTCGGTGCATGAAATGACAATTCGTCTCCGCTTCTTAGTCGGGCCCCGCTCGGCCCGACCATCGACTGCGACCTCGATGTCTGCCATTGTTTCGGTGGTTTTTTCTTCGTACCTTGGCGCTCGGTCGAGCTGGATGGGGCGGTCGAAAGGCGGAACAGTGACGACGCTCAGAGGAGCGACAAAAGGCGGACGGTATCGCGATTGCGTAAGATTTCAAATTCGACAAAGCTGCTGCAGGAAGATAGAGATTTAGTATGCAGGCAACTGGTGGGGCCCACGGCAGAGAGGTAGGAGAATCATGGGAACGGCCGTGCCAGACTCCGCGTTAAGTCCGGCGCGACGGCTCGTGCATCCCGAAAACACCAAGGCTGGTTTTTGGCGATGCATGTTGACGGAAAGACGTCATATGCATGTATGGCTCTTTCATTTTTACAATCACAAGTTGACCCACAGCTTCGTTTGTGGTAATCATCATTGCCTGAATCTTGTAATCAATAAGTAAATGCACCATGCAAGATAAGGTGTGCGACGGTATATGCTGAAAGGATGACGGGCGGTAGTCATACAGCCTGTGCCATAGTAGTTGCCACGTCTAACAAAATTCCATTTTGGATACTTTGTCAAATAGCAGCCCATTATGATAATAGCATCCTTGGGTAGGTATTTCGAACTGCATTTCTCTGTGTCACTTACTTCAAATTTTCCAATTTCCTTTTTCCAATTTAGTCAGTTTTCTACGACGCCGTAGTTCATCTCAAGAGGTTGCCTATGGTTGAGATATATCTTCATCATCTCTCAAAGTCTGGACGCCGGGCCGTTGACTCATAATTTCGAAAAATTAAATTGCTGTATCTAATTCATGAGGATTTAGAAGTAGTTATATATAATCTACAAACACGGGCATCGGCGGCATTATCAGACCGGCAAACAGCACGTCCTAATCCAGCCATAAGAAGCTTGCCTATCCTCCCTAGCCTAGATTGGGCATTCGGTCTGCCGCAGAGCATTTTCAATAGTTCCGTTTCTGCCCAGTTCACCGTGAGATAATAAACTCGCAGATGTTACGCCGGTTAAAATGCTAGATCGAGGCTTCACCGTGTCGAGTTAGCCGTTTCATGCATTCACACGCCCGCAAAGACAAAAGCGGTAATTTTACTAGTCCCCCTTATCGTACAGTATGTACGTACGTACGTAACTAAACCTAAGCAATTTATCATCACAGCTTCACATCTACGATGCTCAAGGTGCACACAAGATCGCTGTTTTCGTTGGAAGACTTTCTTCTTTTGATTCTCTTCTTCTTCTTTTTCAAACAGAAGGAATAAATCATTTTGATATTTGATCCTAAAAGATTCCCTACAAGCCCTAAGCGTTTGTTTCCCGTAAATCGCAAAGCGTACAAAATCCGAAAATCCAGATCCACCATGTAACGGACCAGTGAGCCCCAATGTGCAGTTCGCCTCCACCTTTGTGCATGCAATAACATCAACGTAAACTGGGTAGCGTCTTGGCTAGCAGACGGCCTCCCTAAACCAAAAGGAAAGAAAAAGGTGAAGAACATGAAAAAGAGTTCGCCTAAATACATTGCATTCTATGATGCGGGCATTGGATAGGAGCCTCTTCCAGCTCCGCTTCTTCTTTTTTCTTATCGCAGCAATCTCTCTGTGTAAGCTTTCCATGCCGCTGACCGGTAACGTTCTGCCTCCTCGACGGGATCAGATGCTTTCAGAATGCCTCTGCCCACAATGGCAATGTCGCTGCCGGCGATGCCAATAATCTTGTTTGGCGTGTTGTACTGCTGGCCTTGGCCATCTCCTCCCACCTTGCCGTTTGTCTGCTGATCTTCGTCTTCGGGAGGAAGCTGGCAGCCCGGGGTCATGTGGATGAAGTCGTCGTCTGCCTGTGTGTTCAGCGCCTCTTGTGAGATGAAGCCCATAACGAAGTCTTTGTGTTCCCGAGCTGCCTCGACGCAAGCTTGGGTGTAGTCCTTAGTCATAAAGTTGCCTTCGCTAGACATCTGGGCGAGGATGAGGAGACCACGGTTCAGCGGCGCTTCTTCAATTCCTGGAAATAATGACTCATCTCCCTCTGCGATTGTCTTTGCTAGTCGTGGCGAGGCGGCGGATTCGTACTGCTGAGTAACGGTAGTGATGGAAACGATGCTTCCCTTGCGGCCGTCGCCATTACGTCCGGCGTATATAGGCTTCTCCATCATGTTGGATCCATTGCCGTTGACTGTAACGGGCTCATTCTCGTTGGCATCTTCGGCATCGTCAAACTGGTCCATGGTAGGGGTTCCAACAGTGACGGATGTCTTGACCTCGCATGGATAACGCTCCAGCCATCGCCTGGCACCCTGCGCCAGAGAGGCCACAGACGCCTTGCCCGGTACCATGTTGACGTTGACGATGTGGGCCCAGTCGATGATGCGCGCCGAGCCGCCGGTATACTGCAGCTCAACGGTGTGGCCAATATCCCCGAACTTGCGGTCTTCGAAAATGAGGAAGCCGTGTTTCCGAGCTAGCGAGGCCAGCTTGGCACCAGTGCCAGTGTCCGGGTGGAAATCCCACCCAGAAACCATGTCGTAGTGTGTCTTGAGCACAACAATGGAGGGACCGATTTTGTCAGCAAGGTAAAGGAGCTCTCGCGCCGTGGGCACGTCGGCGCTCAAGCAGAGGTTGGATGCCTTAAGGTCCATGAGCCTGAGCAGATAGGAGGTTAGAGGATGGGTCGTCGCTTCGCTCCTCGCGGCGAAGGTCATCTTGAGGGTTGGGTGTGATGCCATGGCTGCGATTTTTGGGACTCTGTAGTGGTGGCGGATGAAGATTGATTGATGCTGGCGCAGAGCCTAAGGAGAGATTGACGTTGAGTTGCGCAGCGAGAGAATCAGAGAGTATTTGATTGATAGGACTGCTCTGAGGAAAATGCCGTTTAATGTCGGGGTTATCCCCTGCTGAAATTATAGGGAGGAGTCTGAGGAGAGCCAAGTATATAGCGGAACAGGAGATTCAATGCCGGCGGCGATACCCGATATTGCGATGTTGCAAAAGGCAGGCCGGCGACCACCGAAAAAAAAAAAAAAAACAAAGAGTCTGAACTTTGTGGAAGATGGCTGCAGATTCGGTGCACCCGAGAGGAGAAAGTTATAGACAGATAAGACAAAACAGGAACCGAGAAGCTGGCCTGGGAGGAACAGTTGTGAAGCCCACCGTCCAAAAAGGGAGCTCGGTCAGTCGAGGAGCCCTAAACACCGTATGAACAACAACAGATGGCAGTTGTGATGTGACAGGCACCACGAAGGAACTAGTCGGACCTTTACTGGACAAAGGTCAAAAGTAACAGAGAGACAGAGAGAGGGAGAGGGAGAGGGAGAGGGAGAGAGAAGAGAGAAGAGGATTCAAGAGCACCAGAGGATAAAAAGGAAAACGAAGAGGCACTGCGGCGAGCTTGGCGTGCGCCGTTCCGATTTCCGCTATAGCAGCAAACAGACAGTCTCGAACGGGATCCCACAAGGGCTTGGGGACCGTGCCTGAAGTGCCTGCAGCAGCAGGATCAACGAAGCCAGAATTGGGACAACTGGGTCTGTGTGCTGGGGTGGCTCGAGCAGGGGGTTTGGCGGACGGGACGAAGGCGAACGGGGGCCGTCGATGGGAGAGGAGAGGAGATTTTTGTGGTCTCTGGCCTGGGAGCGCAGCAGGAAGGGCTTTGCGCGACGCTGACCAGGGGCTGGCCCGGTGGATAGACGGATGGAGATGGAGATGGAGATGGAGTGAAGAGCGTCGAATGGGCTATTCGCAGGCTGGGTCCAAGCGCAGAAAGGCCCCGGTTGGGCTCTTGCTGTAAAGGAGTTGAGATGAGAGAAGCGCTGGAGTAGCTTGGATTTACAGTAAGTGTTCAATGCTGTTGACGATTCCTGAGTCAGGGCAATCCAAACCACTCCTGATAGTGCCAGAGTAGGTCTGTTTTCCTGATGCTCGCATGCTTTGATGCTGAAGCAAGCCTTGCCGATATTGGGCGGCAAAAACTTTTTCTCTCTTCACTTTCCTTTTTTTAGCCGCTCGTCGTTGTGTGCGGCCTGCGGAGTTCTCATGCTAGCAGCAGGTACTAGCATTGAGGTGCTAGCTAGAGGTAGCCAGCTGGAGTCGCGCGAGCAGACCTCAGTAGCTCCCCCAGTAGGCTCAGTTCCGTGGCAGTTGAGGCCCGCCGACGCTGCAAAAGGCAGCCCTAGCCTGGCGGTAACGGCTAGTTGGGACTCGCAGTTGGGGCTCCAGCAGGAACTAGTACTGGTACAAGTACTCCGTGCTTTAGCGGTATGGCTTTAGGAGATGGCGGGGCTTTTCTGCTTCCCATGCACGGAGCTTGGGGGGGTTATGCATGGTGATGGCGCCGGCGCCGCGGTCCACTGAAGCAGTGCTACTCTACTGTACTTGTACCTACAGCAGACTCTGGGCTGCCCGGGAACCGGCGAGTCCAGTCCAGTCCAGCGCTGCAGGCCAACATGCAGCATGTGAGGACCATTTCAGCTGTGCAGGACCTTTTCCTCTCAATTTGCTCGCGCCTGTTTTGCAACAACAAAGACACCCCCGTGCACGGTCATCATGCCTGGCAGAGAAGGACAATAAGCCAAGCTGGGCACACGCGACACTTTCCAGCCCGCCATCTGACAGCCAAGAGCTGGAGGCGGTACCGATTCCTCTCTTCCTGGCCCTCCTTCGGCACCACAGACCCGCTGGCGACGTGTAAGTCCCAAGCCCCAACATCTATCTGGACGTGGAACTAACAGGCGCCGTGTCCAACCGCTCGTGCTCCCTCTGGATAAGATGGATGGGGTCGATAATCTTGTGCGCCGTGGACCGATAGGCGGAGAGACGCTACGAGGCTGGGGACAGACCCTGGGCTTCAACAAGTTCCCAATCAACCTTTGTCTAGACCTGCTGGAACGATTTATCGGCAGCACCACTTACCGGAATATGTGAAAGTGGCCGGCCGGTGGCGCATCACTAGCATAGCATAGACAAGGTGGATGGAGGTTATTAACAAGCTAGCAGCATTTTGATCAAGTTTGTGCGGAGCTCTCCTAGTGCCACTGCGGTTCCATGGCGTTGGCAGCAGCCCTGCTACTTGCAGATGGCTGGCGATCCTCCTTCAGGCGTCGGCAGTAAGACAACTATTGGTACGCATGGGGTGCTCATACGACCTGGAGGACAATATTGCTGACCAGCTAATACCTAGGATTTGGGTAATATTGCCGGTTGTTCAGAACGAGTGCTACTACCAGTAGCAGTTACGATCGTGCCGACCCGACCTCTCTTCTCTTCGCCAAGGCCAAAGTGCGGTCCTATTATCCTCGACCTGCGTTTGCCTTGCATTGCCGTCGTCGCAATGCATGCTGCTGCAACTGGCAACATCCAAAGAAAGGCAGGTCTTAGTCTAAATGTGCTAATGCTCGAGCCTCCATCGCGTCTTGTCCCGTCCGAGTTAAATCTTTTGGGGGCCAGAGCGGGAACACAAAGCGTCAGCACTCCATCAAATGTCATTGCTGATGCGTTACTAGTAGTTCCTAGTACATGCATCCTCGTGCGAACTACCCAAATTGTTCATCCATCTCCAAGATATCATCCGATCAACCGCCTTCAAGAGAGGACACATACACAGAGGTAGGTCAAAGACCTCACCTCTTTACGATTTGTCCATACCCAGTACAGTACCATTTGTTACAGGCACTAGCACGACAACCTGCTCAAGCGAACAACGTCGGCTAACGCAGGAAAACTGGACTCGGGCCTGGCCGGGACAAGTCGGCTTTTCTTCCGCATCTCAACCATCACCAGGCCCCTGCCAGCCTCTGGGATAGTGCGCCCAAGAGCCCCAGAGACGATAAACGAAACCCAAGCGCCGTTGGTATTTTTTGGCCGCGAAACTTGCATTAGAGAGGTTGCGTTGCTTCATACTGTTGTGCATCTACGGACTTCTCCGTCTGTTGCGCACTGCAGCCGTAACACACGCCTGCCAAGGCTAACGCCACATCGCTGTCAACAGCAAAGGCAGCTTCCTGGCTATCTCCAGAGTGCTCAAGCATGTCTCCATACGCGATATACCCCGTCTCTCCCTCCTTTTGTGTCCGGCAGTTGAGGTCCCGGCGAGCCCTGTGGTAATTGCCTGACAGAAAGGAGAGGGACGGCATCTTCCCTGGCCGATCTGAACCTGGTAAGCTTCCACTCATACCCTTACTGTACAAGTGGTACTTGCCAGCAGTACCATCGGCAAATTAACAACCCAGCATTACGGAATACGGGATCATGAAGTACGAAACCAGGAGATAATATACAATGGTCCCATTTGCCAGGCTCTAGGTTCTACCTACCTGGTATTACCAACTCACAATCCTAGTCTTTCGCTACCGCCAACTTAGAAATCCCCGCTTTATTACGGAGAAGTAACAGCATACTGCTTGCTAATGCCTTCTTTCCCATTCAAATGCTACTAATAATATCACTCGATATGGCATGGGAGTATTGGTGGAAATATGTGGTAATACGAGGGTGAATTACACCAAGTATTCATATTAAAGACAGGCATTGCAGATCCATCCATTTGGCAAAACGAGTCATTCAAACGCATCCAACAGCGAATGCAAGCCGCTAACGCTTCCTTTACAAGCGTCCATCAGATGTCCCAACGGCTAGCAGAGCTGGGGATAGGCCTCACAGACACCTCCCGTATGGCCCTAAACAAGATCTTTCTCCGAGTTGAGCTTATGGTTCGCGCCAGCGGCACGCATGTACCGTGATCGACGGGCATCCCGAGATCTAGATGAGGAAGCTTTATGCTGATGAGACGCTTTTTTGTTTTGTGCCAATGAGAGGGGAGCAAAAAAGAAACAACCAGGTTAGACAAGTCTGACGGCAGCAAAAGCAAGATGACGAATGATACCACACGCAACCGGCCGTCTCCCCGCATGCCTGTTTCGTGTCTGTGGGAAGCAGGCCTCTCCGGAGGGTTGCATTGGGGGATTCCCTATCGTCGCATTTCAGTTTTCATCTGCTCCGTACTAATGCCGGGCCATGAATTGTTTCGGGTTCTGCGACTCGTCTCTCTTTGCTCTGTGTTTAATTCTTTCCTTTTTGGTGAAGGAGTTTCTTTTTAAACCCTCGTCCCCATAAAAGGACCGGGACCTTTTACTCCCCTTCTCCTCGTCTTGCATTTGAACTTCCAAGCATCAGGTAGGATTAAGAGAGCCACCACTGCCGGCAAGCATTCCCCGGAGCTTTGTAAAAAATGACACATCACTTTTTCAATTCCATTTCAATGGGAGATGAGGGGCCTTATGCTAGATGGGGATTTTTTGAGTTGAGACTGTATTACTAGGTATAACCTAGCATACTGTGGACTGTTTTTATTTCCCTTTTCCCTTTTCCCTCTTACTTTTTTCTGTTCCCTGCAAGCATGTAAGCTGCAAAGCCAGCGCATGCTAGCGAGTTTTATCAGGCCATTTCACGATTGATGCTTGAACTTCATGCTCGCTGATCGGTAGGTAGTAGTAGCTTGCGGACTTTGATTCAAATGCTTGATACAGAGCCGGCAAATAGCCTAAATGAGTAAAGTTTTACAGCAAAGTAAAACCT